GGAATAGCAGAGGGTGTACTGCAGGTGTTGACTGTCTGCGGGGGATCAGAACGGTACGTTGGAGGGGGGAGGGGCTCGGAAAAGAGACTGATACACTGGAACCGAGAGTATGGAGGGGAACAGGCGAGATAAATAACGGTATGGAAGAGGAACGTGGCGATGGAGTGACAAAGAAGGGGGGGATAGAGGCTCTGAAGCCGATAGGCCAGGGGGGTGGAAACGTTCGGGGCGCGGGAGAGTGGATAGAAAAGATGAAAACGAGAGGGCGCGGTGGAGGGACGGGCAACGCGGAGTGGAACGACGCTGGAAAATTGTGTGTGCGATGCTGAAGGATAGCGGGGAAAGTGGGGGCGTTGTAAGGTCGGTGACAGAGATAATGGGTGCGAGGGAGAACGAGAGTAAAAATGTGAAAGACAGTGGAACGCTGCGAATTGTAAAGACAGACGCGGTGGTACACAAAGCACGAGCTGGCAGAGAGAACTGACACTCTTAAGAAGGATGGACGGAAAGACAATGCGAGCCGGGCGAAAGGGAGAGGGAGACGGAGGAAAAGGAGGGTAGGAGAGCAGGGGTAACCGTGGAGGAAGTTGAAAGTGAGGGAGCAAGGACAAAATGTAGGAAAGAATGCGGCAGAAGATGGAAAACAAAGGGGAGCACGTGCAAAGAATTGGAAGAGTGAAAAAAAGAAAAGAAAAAACTAGCGGAGAGTATTCGGACGGAAGATGCACAATGAGGGGGAAAAGGGAAAGGGCCGGAATGGCTGGATAGATAGTTTTATTCATTGCCTCGAGTGGACGTAATCCCCCGATGATACCGACCTGTTACGAGGAGAACTAATGCGATTACAAGTGTTTACAAGGATTCATTTCTACATAATTTTAGAAATTAACCGTTTAAAATTGTTGAGATGTAATCGATCAACAGAGTTCACGTAAATTCACGAGAAATTTCGCCGGTCGATTCGTAATATTTCCCAGGAAGATAGAACGAGAAATACAAAAGTTGTCGGTTCGTGTTGGTAACCGTCACACGGACACGGCGGCGCTTTGAAGTTCGGCCAGCCGGTTTCTAAATCCACGATCGGATCCGCAAGCCGTTCCGAGCAGGGGGGGAACAACGAGGGGGATGATTCCCTATCGCGGAACCGAACAACAAAAGTTAACAATATCCAAGACATTACTGCGCGATGCCGCGCAATCCGTTTACCGTTCGAAACGTATTTTCGAACCGACCGGCCGCAAACGAAGTCCCGATTTAAGCTCCGCAACAACGCCCGGCGAAACTTCCGCAACGTGGACGCGCGAAGATCGAGAGACTCGGACGGAATCAAAGACCGCGATAGAAAAAGAAGTTAACACGGTCTAAAGTTTCACGAGTAATCTCGACGAATCCTATCCAACGATTTTCTGGAAACCGCGCACAGTGCGATGTATAATGTATACGTATAATGCGATGCTGTGTTTTCCAAAGTAGGGGGCGCAACCCTTACGAGGTAGAGCGTTTCACGCTCGCGGGAAGACTCGAAAGAAAATTTTTAACGCGGAGAAATGTGGACAAAATAAATCCGTGTCTATCGATGCGTCGACGTAGCTTAAATATTACGATTTTTAGAGAACCTGAATTTATTCAAACAAACGACAGTTCGGAGCAATTTGTAGACGGACAAAGTACGTACAGTCGAGGGCAATATTAAGTGGAAGTGAAAACGGTCGCCATTAAAATTTAATTAAAACAGTATTGCCGAGGGAAATTTTAATTTTATTTATTATATATCCTTGCGGCACGTTTGATCAATATGTTAAATGATTATTAACATTACTGTATAGTGAAATTGTGTTTAATGGACAAGGGAAACACGTTACAAAGAACACATTATAAATGATTAAAATTGTAATTAATTTATAATTGATATTTCGTACTAATTACCTTTCCCAAGAATTACTCTAGAATATCGTGTGTTTAGTAAATAAGAAAGGGATTGATTACGATTGAAAATTATTATTAAATTCATAACAGTTGTTTATACAGCTCCGTCGTGGAGAGTTCGTCAAACTTATTCGTTCCGGAATTGAAACGTTTTAAAGAGGTTAAAAAAATGAGTTGCCGTTTCCGTCCAGGTTATGCTGCTGGGCTCGTCAGTAAGGCAGTATAATTTATAGTATCTAAGGCAAAGTTTGCTGGGTCAGCCTTACTACCAGCATAACATGGACGAAACGCCAACTCATTCTGGTAACCTTTTTGAATTTATGCTCCAAACCCCCCAACGAATAATTTTGATGAACGTTATATGGTAAATCGTTCTTCCTTTACATTTAATATATTATTCATTAGTTCCGCGATATAATCTTTACCGGTACTACAAATGCTGAATGCAAGTTGCAAAATTTTCTGTATTCATTGCGTAATTAAATAAACCTCCAACGTTTAATACAAATACAGGTTATTTTCTTATCATTCAAGTGTAACAGTTTCTATTAGAATCCTCGAACAATTTTTTGCTTTTCTCAACCGTGTGAATTTATTCCCCAATTTCAAATGCATTATTTTATTTTTATTTTCATAAAAATGGTACTGACGGATCTGTTTAGTTTTGATTCGTTTCTGCAACGAATATTGTTATTTCAAATGTATTGCGGCGAGAAAGAAAGATTAGACCTGACAGGAATTGCCAGTCATCCTGTGTCAGATGTTTTGGTCAGTCCTCCACGTTCCCCTCGCGGATGATGGTACATTATTTAGCACGCTACTCATTTTTCTTTCTCCCTACAATACATCAAACATATACAATTCAACATGGACGAAAGACTCGTGAAGAAATTAATCACGCGATTCGAGGATTCACCGTATTATATCAATGTACACTTCCAAGATACATTATTCCCTCTGTAGATACTACAGTAACAATTCGTTTATCCTGCAACCATTAAAAATCCACCACAAAACTTCACATTTGACAAAGTAAATTGTTTCTTTAACGATTCATCGACCGCTGAAAGTTGCAACGATATATTTTTTACAAATTTTTGATACCTTTTGATATTTTAATTTTTCGAGCTGTTTTAGCATAATTTTAAATACCATACTTTTGGAGTGTTCACTGAATTATGTTCTGCAGTTTATCGAATTGTTTGCTAAATACAATTTACTTATATGGTAATGTTAACACTGATTTCAATTATTAATTAAATATTTTATGTGTCATGTAGACATATAATAAACAATATTGAAATCCATACGACGTGTACGATTTGATTTCAATAATATTCATTTCTATGTCCATTTAATTTTGACTCTGATTGAGAAAATACATGAAAAGGCTGCTTCCAATAATATTACGCGAATGTAAATTACATTAGCTGTTCCGACGGTCGTCGCAACAATTAATTGTTTATCGTTAAACGAATTTTCGGCCGTGTTTGCCAACCATTTTCCAGCGAAAATATAAACATTGTATCTTAGCAGCGACAAAATACAAATTTAAGACTATATCTGTAAAATAACTTTACAAGTCATTATTTTCATAATATTTTAGAACCTTTATTCGATAAAAAAGAAAAGCTGATTACAAGCAGCGACAGATTTACGTTTTTCGGGGCCCCGAGGCCAAGTATTTATTTATTAGCGAAACGAACTTACCATATTGTTAATTATTAACTTCGAATTTTTTGCTCGTATTTTCTCGCGTGATATTTTTGCATGTGACATTCCATACAATTATGTAAATATAATATCAAAATATATCAGATACAGCCAGTGGCGGTAGATAAACACGAGGGTTTGAATATAGGTCAGAAAATTGTTCTATCAGGCTGTATATTATTGTATTATTAATGTTTCGCGTACTGTGTTGTCAGTAAATATGTAGCAGATATTTCGATAAAAGAATTTGTATCGTTTAAAAAATTCGAAAAGTGCCCGTAAAATCGTTAAATTCGAATTGACTGATCCTCGAAAGGGTTGCGATCTAAATATCGTACCCAACAAGAAGCTATGCGCAAATAAACCGTAAACTAATTGCACTAAATGAACGCTGAATATTCGAAACTTTTGTTCCATCAGCTTTTGACTGCAATTCCACGAACCACTCTCGTATTTACGAAATGTGAAATGGAATCTGCTCGGAAAGGGATGTTTGTTATCCGAACGAATAAATAAAACAGCGGTCGGTGAACGGGGGGGGTTTCGATAATACGAAATATCTGGGAACAGACGGTGCCCTGACAATTGGATCCACCGTGCCCGCAAGTATCGTTAAAGTGTTTGAAAAGTCCAAGGGGGTAGTTTTCAGAAATGCGAACGCAATCAAAATTCAACGAGGGCGTAAATTTCTGAAGACACACCCCACCCGTTCCGTATGCTAGGCGCATACTAAACCGCTTCTTTGGGAAATAATTGAATAATTCATTTCATAAACTGCAGCTTGAATAATTTCGGGTTCTGTTCGCGGATTCTCGTGAATTGGCCGATAATACGCAGCGTACGCAAGATATATTCATCGTTAAGACGAAAAAAATTAACCTTTCCTCGAATGTTCCATTAACCCAGTTGGGGCAAATTACAATAATCACACGGCGGATACAACTATATTACTCGACCGCGCGTCGCGAACAATGTTCATAATTCGCGTAAACGCCCACGTGGAAACTTTCGTTTCAACCCCTTCTCGGTCCCTCCGCCTATCGCCTTTCCGTTACGCTCGAGAACTTTTCCCGGGTAAATGGAACTCGTCAAAATTATTCGTTAAAAAGTATCTACGCTGTTGCACGATCGATCGTGTTCGCGACGATTCGCGTGAAAAAAAATCTCGAAACACCGAAACTGTAGCGTCGATGGACAAATCGCAGTTAATTCCCCGTCCGAATTGGAATCGACGCCGACGTTCGTTCGCGTTTGTAATGGTGATCGATAACGGTCCGTCCGCGCCTTGCTTTCGAAGCTCGTGACTGTCGTCGCGACGATTACGCGGAGAATGTATAAAATAGTAAAAAGATGTCAGTTACCTCGCGATCGTGGGTCCAGTAAATGGCCGTCGGTGGTTCGGGGCTGTGACGCACCACGCAGGTTAGGTTCATCGTGCTGCCTTTATTTATGAACATTTCCGGCTCGCCGACGATCGACGTCACCGGCTCTAAACAGAAAACGAAACAATCACTATTAGCGCAGAATTTCTGCCCGCCGTTTATCCTCGAACGAAATAATCGTGGAAAAAACGAAATAATAATTAAAATCCCCGCGCGTCTAGGGGAATTTATTCCGAACGCTGTCGCGGCCAAAAATATGAAAATAAAGGTTAGAACGGGACACACATCGCGTTCGTGATTCATTTCACTGCGGGATTTATGGATTTATGGCGTAACACAGTATGAGAAACATACGCTGAGCGTGGACAGAATACAAGCTAAGAGTTCTGGTCCGACACATTGGAAAAATAAATATTTCCTATTAATTTTCAACATCGAGACTTCTCGGATCGCGTTCGAAGCAAAATTATGAAGAAATTATCGTTACGGAACTGTGGACGTAGGGAGTACGTTGAAAAAAATAAATGGATCCAGATTCCAAAATGCTGAGAAAGATCGCGAAAGCATGGAAATTCTGTTACATCTATTCGACACTTTAAACCCGTTTCCCCCGAAGCAATTTTCGATAAGGTTGACATGATTTAGCAAAAATCAATGATCGGATTCGAAACTTGGTCTAAACATGGAACAGATATCTTTATCGTCGGATCTACAGAAAATGCAACGCCTTGCTATATATTTTTATATGAAAGAAAGTTCATGTAAATCGTGGTACAAAGTGTCGAGCCGATATCTTAACTAGTTTTTCCTTCGTAAATCTGTTTCCTCTTCGTTTTTAAACAAGAAAACAAAATTAAACAGGATACGTTTGAATATCGCTTGAAATCAGATCGCGCGACGAGGATTTAATTTACGAAATATATTTCTCATACGTTTTACGTGAAATTCATATATAGCGCAGGCCGCGAATAAAATCCGCAGCCGACTGATTATTCTCGGGATTCGTGGGGTGTGGTGGGGGAGGAGCAACACGCAAATTGGTTGGAGGCAAGAGAAAGGGGGAAAAAAGCGTTTGATTGAAATTCAAAGCAGATTTAGAATTGGAAAACCGTTGTAACGCAAGCTCGATTTTCCGGGAAACGCGAGAGCTACCGACGAAGGTGGAGAGGAGAGGAGAGGAGAGGAGAGGTCAGGTTAGACGGAAATCCTGATAGACGTTCGGAGAAAATAAAATTAACGAGTAACGGCGAAGCGAGACAAGACCGACGGGGCCGGGATTCGACGGGAAAGATTGCGAAACGAAAACAAACCGGGGACAAAGGGAACAAAAAAAAAAAGAATGGCTATCGAACTAACCGACGACCGAGAGATGCATGGAATGACCGATCGGCGGTGTCGTTGACACTTGACACTCGTAGGTCCCGGAATCACGTCGCTGCGGGTATTTCACTTGAAGCGTCCAATCCTCCGTTCGTGGAAAATGCGATGCCACGAATCTTTGGTCGGAGGTGTAAGTTTCGACGCCGACGGTCAAAAGATGAATGTCCCTGTGCCTCACCCAGGACACCTATCGGATCATACAATAAATATTTCTTACGGACATCGGACGCGAATTCGTTCAAAGTGCTCTTCGATAGCTTAACGATTGTCGCGCAATTTTGCGCGCGAGTCTGCTTAAATATTAAATTTCCGTTGGATATATGCACGTATAAATAACGATTGAAATTCAGCCCGATATTTATATATCTGTCGGAATAACGGAAAAGGTTGAACGAGCAATCGGTACAAATCTTCGGTGAATCTATCGAAAACATTGGGCCACGCCGATGTTTATGAAATTGGAATACGTTTTTGAGGTTAAGCGTATACTCGAGCCAACGAGACGAATCAGCATACGTCAACAAACGTCGCTTGGCGGCCAATGACTACAGCTGCAACACCTTCGTTTTTTCTTCACCGACTCGTTTCGTTGACCCGAGTATAGTGTTAATTTTTACAATATTCTTTACCGTTTCTGTCTTTGATACATCTTAAACACACAAAATTGTGCTTCTATCTTAGGTTTTGTTCAATCTTCTTCGTTCTCCAGACACGTGCACAAACCGCTTTCTTTCTCCAGACGCCATTAATTCTGCCCTCTATCGTTACTCGTCGAAACAACCCATCCAACAGCTCAATCTGCATCTCTTGTACAATTACGCTCCAAACACATAGAACGTTTGTTTCACGGTAGAAATAGTTAGACACAAATTATCAGCACATTAAGCGTTAAACCGCAAGTTTGCAAAGCTGCTTGGCTTTCTCGAACTTGAAACAACTTTTCCCATAAACGTCGTGGCTCTGCAGATCGTATGCAACGCGATAACTCGGAACACATGCAATATTAACATCTCGATCGATGGATTTGTTTATAGACGGGCCAGCGATGCTCGGGTGCGGTAGTTGTCAAACTGATTTTCCGCCAACGTGTTAACCGAGGGTCTGAATGCTTGAGATAGACAAAATTCAATTCGAATAATAGATGAACGTATGAAAAGACCGTGCGGGGATTTATACTCAATATTTATACCGCCAGACCAGTTATTGGCATAAGCTTTTATTCGTGCGACGTGAAATGTAATTCCACTTTATAATTTAAATTGTAACGTTTTATCGAACGATGGTTGTTTATATTTTCTATTAGCTTTTACGTATTGACCACTTTTTTTAAAGTCTTTTCGAAAATTCAGGATGACTATTGGAAACATGTATTATACGTTTTTCGTTCAATGATTATTATTTAATTTTATTTAACTTTCATTCGTTATTGGAATTTTTTATGCGGTTAAAAAATCCATTTCCATTCTTCTGAAAAGCTATTGGAAAAAGAAGCATGTTTATGCAGCGCAATGAAAAATGAAAAAATAACGAAATAATCGAAAAGGAAATTGGAAATTAAAATGTTCAAAAGTTTGGAACAGCTGAAATTTCTCGTTCATTATTCGTCGCTTTTCGTGCTACGTTCGTTAAAATTAATAAAGAATGGTATGTTTTATTGGGGTTTTCGTGGTGCAGTGAGAGAATTTTATTTGAAAGCCAAGTAATAACGATTACTTCATATTTATTATTTTGTATTTGGTAAAGAACACGTGAAATGTAAAAATTCATTTAAAATCGGTTTAAAATCAAATATTGATACGATTTTTTAAAAAGTTTAGAAATATACCTAAGGAGCAATAATTTAATTCTGTACTAGGGGCCCGTTAAACGTTGTTTATTGACTGGAAAATGCGGGAAGGTAAAGTTTGGGAAATATTGCTTTCAGCAACTATCGTTCACAAACTCTATTCAGCTGTCATCCGATAACTGATAACAAGTTGACCAATGTTATTTTAACGAAACGATGTCACATTCCAGTGGCTTTAAGGCATTTATGCAATTCTCTACCCTTAAAATCATAATTGATAAAATGTACCAATTTTCAACTTCACTTGGGTAGCTCGTCTCTTTTAAAGAATGAAGGAAGTCATACAACATGAGTCCAAAATATAAACGTTTCTAACAATTTCTCTGGAAAAGACGTATTTATGTCTCGCAAAATTCCGGATCTATGTTTATACGATCTTTTTTCATCCCCGGGAATAGTAGAATATGCTACCAAAGTGGGACAACTTATTTCGGTATTGCTGTAAGCACACAAGACATCCCAGTATGGCCGACACAACCAGATAAAAAAGACGATACTACATAAAACATCGAATAGAAAACATGAAACATAATTTATTTTATAATGCTTACTTTTCGAGATAATAATATTGAAAATAATTCTATAAATCTGCTCGTTCAAAATCCTCCTGGGAAAAATTTTAATGGGAAAATAAGACGAAAATCAAGGATACTAATTTGTTGATCGAGGCTTCGTTAAAAAGTTATAGAAACATTTCCGACCACACGGTATATTTTCGGTAAAGAATTTTTTTCTCGAAAGTACGTAGGATTTCGGGGGAATGTCTATTCACCAAAAATGATTGTAATTTACCCCTGCAACTGAAAATAATTTTTTTATAAAGATTTGAAATTTTTTTTTTCGTCGAAAAATTTAGGCACCTACCCCCTGTCGATTTTTCTTAGAAATTAGTTTTTGATTTTTAGTAAGTTTTGTTTAATACTTTTTTGTAGGTACCTATGAACTCTACTTCCTACTAAAATTTCAATCCAATATATTTACTATTCTAGGAGTTATGGCCGTTTGAAGATTGAACCACTTTTATGGAGTTTTTCTCACTTTACGGTGTTAAGGAACAACTTTCCGAATATTGTTAGAATTTCTACATATTCTCCACTAAAATACGCGTTGTTTGCCGTTTGAAACATTAAAATCGGCCAATCCGTTCAGGAGTTATGACATTTTAAAGATTTGCATGAAATTTCAGTGAAACATGTCAACGGTATGGTCAGACATAGTATTTTCGGTAAAGAATTTTTTTCTCGAAAATGCGTAGGATTTCGAGGATATGCCTATTCACCAAAAATTATTGTAATTGACCCCCGCAACCGAAAATAATTTTTTCAGAACGATTTGAAATTTTTTAATTTTATCGAAAATCTCAGCACCTACTCGAATTTTTTTCTCGAAACTGAGCAAGAATTCGGGGATATGTCTATTGACCAAAAATTATTAGAATTGATCCGTGCAACCGAAAATAATTTTTCCGGGAATGATTTGAAATTTTTTAATAACTTTTTAACGAAGCCTCAAACAACAAATTGATATTCTTGATTTTCGTCTTATTTTGGCCTTTAGAATCTCCAATTAAAATGTTTTCCAAGGGTGACCGAACACCCTGTATACATTCTGAATCGAGAAAGGAGTTCTCGAAACTCGGATTCAAATTTTACGGTAAGCTCAAAACTTTCATCGTACGATAAGAAAACAAGCTAGCGTGATTTATAGCCGTACTTCGTCAGTTTCTGAACAGGTAATTGGGTTCTTACATTCAAATAAGAATGACGTAAACGAGTCTAGTTCATCGAAAAATGGAGGAAAACGAAGCAGATAACCGGATAAATGGGGTAGCCGTGTTCGGGGTAAGAAAAGAGCGTCCGGAGAAAATTGCAAAACTAGAAGTAACCATTCCCATGGCCGGGAAAACATTTCAGGGATAAGCTGTGTAATTGCGCGTGTAAGTGTAATGAAAAAGTCACGTTCCCGTCGCAAAGGGGAAACGCGATGACGTCTTTTCAGAAATTAGGCGACCACATTCAACGAAACGTCTTTTTTCGAGGATCCGTCAAAGTTGCCAGAATAAAACGTCGTCGTCCCGACCAGCCACGCTAAAAACCACCTAGCGCACAGTCATTTCAATTCCGCGTTCGAATTGGTAGACAAGACGTCAAAAGTAAGAAAGTATTTTAGAAGGACCTTTCAGGAAAATGAAAGAATTTATTCTTCTTGTGCATCGGACAAAGTTTTCAGCCGTAATCGATGCACGAGGTAGCCGTGTTTCTGGCAACAGAATTGATTCGCCCGCGCGGTGGAAAAACGCCATAATGCACCTGTCGCCGTGCGCCAGTCATTAAACAAAGAAATCACGGAACCCTCCCGAGGAAATATTTAAATTCAGATATCTAGCGTCACGAAAATCCACCAACAACCGATTAAGGAAAACTACTATTGCCGCATCTTCCTCACCGAATTCAATTTGCATTTTAAACAGCCTTGGGGACATGTCGAAAGCGTACGGCTTATCGGACGAATATATAATAATTGCCGGGCGATGATGAGACGAGAATGGAACATGAAACTGGGCGTTTGCATAAGGGTATGGTTTCGTTCGAAATATCATGCGAACCGACAGACGAAATCATTGCGGCGAAATTGATGTTTTTACCCCTTTGATTCTCGAAAAGCTCCGGAGCTCTCGTAAACTAATTGCTTTGGACAGCTTATTATAGAACGAATACGGTATATGTATAATTTTGGTTATTATAACGTCAATAATGATGTAGGACGCGTGTAGCCAGAAACTAGGGGATTTCCAGGCTCTCGAGATTTCTTCGTACTTAATTAAACGCGTTAAAACGTATGAAATATTCTGTAACTTGGAAATTATTCCAGGAATCAGTCCCCGAGCAAATCGTTCGCGTTTAAAAATATTTTTGAAAGTATCACTATTAGAAGCACCCGAGTTGGAAAAACAATGAAAATCAACAAAGGTAGCGAACACGATGCATTCCCTGAAAAAGAAATCCCGTCCAATTAACACGAAAATTAGTAAGAAAGAAGATAAAATAATAAATATCCGAATATGGATATACCGTGTCTTGCTTTAATGGCAAAAACTGTGTAAATTTCGTTCTGTTTTTACGTCCGTGTGCTATCCATTTTCCTGATGAAACAATATTTTGTCAGGTAACAATCGACCGGGAGCTTTATTTTCACAGATTAGCTCCACGGAGACTACCCTTGTCTATCCTAATCCTACCGAGACGTGACTTCGGGTCACGTAGCGAGAGTAAGCGTAGACATTTTTTTGTACTTTATAACCCCACGGTAAATGTATTTTATAACTTACGTAAAGTGTATAAATTATCCATAAAGCGTCCTGTATCTCAAGTAATACTACACTCGGTTCGACGAGACCAGTCAGCGAAGAAAAACAAAGTGTTAGTGTGATATCCATGTGGTCGATCGCGCAGCTGCCAGGACACTTACGAGTCGCATTCAGGGACGATTTTGTTTACGTCTGCCGGACTCGTCTCGCTGGCCGACCGTTTGTTATTCCTCTCTGTCCGGCGCGTGTGAAAAAAAATTCCGTCGACTCGAAGGCATCGTGTTTCGTCGCGAGAAGAAGACGAATCATCGGTATAAATTCACGCGTCGCGTCGCCACCGGTGGGGCTCTGAAAAGCTAAAAACTGTAACGTATTTATTCTCCTTCTCTGTCTCCGGGCCGGTATTATCCGTCGCGTGAAAAACGGTCGATGCAGAATCGCGCCGATGACGCGTACGTGCTCCGCCGCGTTTCGCAAGAAATGTGCTGTTGCCAGGCCAACGACGATAGCCGCGGATAACTGCAATTAATGGTGCCGTAACGCGCGTACTGATACGTTCGCAAACATCAATTTGCGACGGTCGGACACCGATTGTTGCCGGCTAAATAATTATTAACGTTATCCCACCCCGCGTCGTTACAAAACTTTTTGCCCTCCGCGAGCACACACACACACACACGCGCGCGCGCGCGAACGTGTGTTTAGGGAGGACGCTCGGAACGACGGTGGATCGTTGAATATGCATTATACGATGTATGTACCCCGTAGTCATAGAGTCCGGCGAAACGGTCGTACTTCACGGCCTTCAACGTGTGTCATTGATTGCACGCTGATGGTTTAATGCCATTTGTTGCTCCCGGCTCGTTAAATTGTGTATAACCCCGGGCGAACCGGCGCGGGTATTTCTAAATAGGCTATAAATTAGTATTTAGGACGTACCGATAATCGGTACGCCGCCGCACAAAGGAATATTAATGAGACGCGGACCGCCACGGGTAACCGTGTACGATGAAAATCCACCGTCGGCCTTAAATTGCACTTGCTGGAGGCACGATTGCCGATCCGACGGGGCCGTTTAAAATTCAAGCAGAGCTTAAAATGTTAGTTGCAATTAAAGCCGAATTAAGACTCTGGAGAGGAGTGGGGGAGAGAGAAGGGTTCGAATGAAAATTTAACGGATCGCCCGAGAACTTTCGGTAGACGCGCGCGACTTTGAAAAGGCACCGTCCGGATAAATTATTCGACGATCCTCCGGCCATAAGTAGCTTCGCGGATCCCGATGTCTGTATTTACCGTGCCGCGTGATCATTCTTTCTATTCACGGTGTTACGTGCCCGGCTCTCTCGCCCTATTCAGGATAACGTGATTCTTTTTCATCCCGAGGAATTTCCCCCCTTGATAGGGGGGCAGAGGGAAAAAGGCATCTCTGAAAACAACGCGCATCCCAGCGTTATCGATATGTGCCGGACGAAGACGAAGATGGAAAATCGCGTGCACGTTCCCTCGCGAAACTATTCGAACGCCAGCGTCCTAAATTGTTATCGAATCGAATCGAATACGAGCATCCCTACGTACAACGCGGTACGGATCTTGATTAACCGTAGTCTCGGTTATCCAGAGTCTTGTGTTTACTAATTGCACGTTAAGTGAATAGTACGGATGCGTCGGAATGTACCTACTTAACGGTACAAGAACGGCTATCTGCGAATGAGGTAGAGATCATCGGGACGAATACAGCCGCTGTTGAGAAATTAGTTCGAAAATGAAAAATTAACTATGGAAGTAAAACTGTAACGAAATATTTAAACGCATCAATTATTCTATCACTTTATCCTGGTCCTGATCCGGATCCGGATCCGGATTATGGCAACGGCTGCGACCGCGCGTAACTTTAAATCAGCGCGGTAGAACCTCGATTATTGCACGAGAGCCTCGTTCGCTCTATGATGTCGAGAATCCAGCGGAGAAGATGGTCCCTAAGCAACAAGTAAGATTGGTCGTAGAATTGGGAAAGGACTGTGCAAGGAATAACTACTCGCTGGACCAGGAATTTTCAGCTTCAATTTACACCGTAACCATTTAAACCGTAATTAGTATAGCGGTCATTTTGTTACCTAAACAGTACGGTGGAATCCACGAATTCCTCGAATCAAAGGGAATCCTATTTAAATAAAAAATACACTATATTCAAAAATGTAATCTATAGATAGAAACATTTATACAGGGTGTTCAGTCAACCATGGAAAGATTCTAGTGGCCAAAATAAGACGAAAATCAAGAATTCTAATTTGTTGATCGATGCTTCGTTAAGAAGTTATTAATGTTTAAAGATCCGTCTGTACTGAATTTTTTTCTCCAAAATGCGCAGGATTTCGGGAGTATGTCTATTCACCGAAAATGATTGCAATTGACCCCCGAATTCGAAAATAATTTTTTTAAAACGATTTGAAATTTTTTTTTCCGTCGAAAAATTTCATACCTTCTCGAATTTTTTTCTAGAAAGTGGGTAGGATTTCAGGGGTATGTGTAATGACAAAAAATGATTGTAATTGACCCTCGCAACCGAGAATAATTTTTTTAGAACTATTTGAAACTTTTTAATTTTTTCGAAAATCTCAGCACCTACTCGAATTTTTATCTCGAAAGTGAGTAGGAATTCAGGGATACGTCTATTGACCAAAAATGATTGTAATTGACCCCCGCAACCGAGAATAATTTTTTCAGAACGATTTGAAACTTTTTAATTCCTTCGAAAATCTCAGCACCTACTCGAATTTTTTTCTCGAAAGTGAGTAGAAATTCAGCGATATGTCTATTGACCAAAAATTATCACAATTGACCCCTGCAACTGAAAATAATTTTTTCAGAACGATTTGAAACTTTTTAATTTCTTCGAAAATCTCAGCACCTACTCGAATTTTTTTCTCGAAAGTGAGTTGGAATTCAGGGATATGTCTATTGACCAAAAATTATCACAATTGACCCGTGCAACTGAAAATAATTTTTTCAGAACGATTTGAAACTTTTTAATTTCTTCGAAAATCTCAGCACCTACTCGAATTTTTTTCTCGAAAGTGGGTAGGAATTCTGGGATATGTCTATTGACCAAAAATTATTGCAATTGACCCTTGCAACCGAAAATAATTTTTCCGTGAATGACTTGAAATTTTTTAATAACTTTTTAACGAAACCTTAGTCAAGAAATTGATATTCTTGATTTTCTCCTATTAAAATTATTCCCAGGGGTGACCAAACACCCTGTATAAACAACGTACTGAAATAGAATGGTCAGACAACTGAATAATCCACTGGAAAACAGGTATTGATACGTACACCTACTAACAGTGGATATTTTACGGATTATGCGGAAAATAAAAATTGCTGGGGTCTATCAAATCCCACCATACCAATTACGGTTTGAAGTTCTACGCTTTCCGGGCAAAAGAGAATACTGCTGAAGCCGCCGAAACTATTTATTCTGCTCTTGGTAAAGGCACTGTGACCCATAAAGTATGCAAGAAATGGTTCCAAGGATTTTCACGATGGTGATTTTGATCTGAATGGCCGAGAACGAGCCAGCCATCTACGGAAATTTGAGGACGAGAAATTGGAGGTGATGCTGACTGAAAACCCCGTGCAATCCAAGACAAGTTTGCTATGCAACTTGATGACGTCCGACAGGCCATTTCTGTCGAATAGCATTAGTCGAGAACAATTTTTAAGAAGAGAAAATTGAGTTTGCTCGAGCCGAGTGCAGGCAGCAAACAATGATACTTTGATACGGCTATGATGTCATTAACCAGAATAAGGAAAAAGAATTTGATATACCAAATTGGATACTTTAATATTTTGTCAAAATCAGGTGAAATTGTTGCGTTCTACCGTTATCAAGAACGCTTGCGTAAATTAACTAATAAATTAGAGGGAACGAGGCCGTTTAATGACCACGGAAACCATTCGATCATTTTGCTTCGCGATAACGCTAGGCCACGTATCGCGAAAGGGACCAAGGAAGTCATCCTTTAACTTGGATAGGAAAGTTCTTTATTGCGCGACCTAACCTCCAGATACCATTGGATTACCATTAATTTCGATCGTTTTAACACCATCTATCGTTTAATCACCGACAAAGATGATACAAATAAACGGTAACATAAAATAACACAACATAACCTCCGAATACTTTTCCAGAAGATTTATTTACACTCGATGCTCTGCCAATCCTTTACGCGTTATCGGATTTTTTTGTACTCTTACCAGCTCGTTCTTAATACCCGTATCTCGTCTCTGTAATAGCATTATTTCGAAAACCTTGAATCTTCTACGTGTATTTTATTTGTTAACAAACGTTCGTACCCTTTCTCGTAATCGATTGTACGTGTGCGATGGGCAGACGAGTCGCGAGCGAAATAGAAACTGCTCATCCGTGCGTTTTTAAAAAAAAGAAACAAAAAAAATGCGAAGCTTTCCGTTTTATTTAAAATCCCGCCAGCAAATACGAGAACAAGGTAACAAACAAACGACGCGAAAAACGAAACTTCGCCTTTTCGCCCGTCGTACTGCAAAACTTTCGTTCCAGCTTGTTATACAGTTACCTCTTGATGGGCCAAGTTCCATTGTGCCCGTTGTATTATCCACGTTATGATCCTTTTGTTCGGGGCCCCCTTACTAATTTGTATTCTTAACGGTACTTGGTGCACGGCGCGCGGATATTCCGTCGAACCAACGCCGTAACACGGTTCTCTGAATTTTTACCGAATTATCGTATCCACGACGTTGTTGGCCGCCCGATAATCGTTCCCGTCCCGTAATTCGCTTATTTGCATGCGCTCGTTTACCTACCGTACGATCGCCCAGATTCCGAACACGGCAGTTTAAGGTGGCCGTCTTGCCAACCAACGCGGTGACGTTGTTCGACGCCGAAACGTCGAAGTACGGTCCACGATCGAGCGGCTCCAGTGCACGGTTCTCGTACATTCCGTGATCAGACGTACCCCGGGCGAGTCCTTGCACTTTAAAAAGAAACACAAAGCTTGCTTTCAGCCGTGGCCAGTTTCAATCTTCAGATTGCGCCGGATTGTTCTTTGACCCGAGAGGTTATATCCCGTGCTTCGTCGCATCGAGAGTGCTTACCGGGACAGCAAGAGAAATGCTCGCCACGTTGCGTCGTTCGTTATCGGAATTTCGTTAACTCCTCGTGTTTACCGCGAAACTCTCGCGCGCGCGAACGATGTACGGCCGGAAGTGGTAAGAAATCATTTTAACGTGTCCCGAAGTGGCGAGGGGGTAAAAGCCGCGATATATCTCTCTTTCACTCGGACACAGACCTTGCTACGCTTCGTCATAAAGTATTAAAGTAGGTGGTGAAGTTTCTGGTTTGCAGTTTCAGAAACTACTTTATCTCGTAATACGCGACAGTGAGCGAGAGGTATCGTCGGTACCGAACCCGTTGCTCGTTTTGTTCTTACGTCTGCCCGCGGAGGAATGAAACATGCCTCGCCCCGGCGTTGTTGTAACAAATGTCGCGACATTTTTAACCTTATATCGCCGTTACTTATGCGACCGTCGTGGGGCCACGCTCGTCCCGCAAAGCGACGTTCTTACCATTTGTTTAAACGAACGATAAAACGTCTTTGAAATATTGCCCGTTGTACCTATTTCTCGTTGTCGCGTTGCAAAATCTAATACTTATCGCAAAGAACAATCCACGAATCACGAATTGTTAGACACGTGGTCGGTAATTCCCACTTACCTGAAAACAACAGACTCAGGGCAAAAAGTACACCCTTCATTTTTTGTTTTTCTCTCTCATAGTCGATCCACGATGTTGTTCGATATATATCCCTCGCGCTTTCGTAGATGCACCACTGTGTTCCCCGTGTATCCACGACAATAGGATTCTCGCGTCGCCGGCTCTTCTACGGACTTTCACTTGTCAATTATTTGCGAATTATCTCTTCCGCGCTTCGTTAATCTCCACCTACCGCGGCGCAATAATCCAGAAGCGAGTGTTCTATATCGCATCTCGGGACAAAGGCGCGGAATCAAAATCGCGGGTAGAAAGTATCGAACGAATCAATAGCATCCGATTTTCCTTGGCTTTTTCACTCGATGTCGCCATTATGTCACTGGTATTCGCAATTTATGCGTCGGCATGCATAGAAATCGTCCCCGATACTTCTCCTCTCCCATAGTTCTCGCTTCCTCGATACGTTCCACTCATGTTCCCGCTATAACATTCCCTTTGCTACTGGTTAATTGACCAATGGTACGTTCGATCGTTCGATCTGTCCGTGCACGTTGAAGAAAAAAAAAAAAAAAAAAGAAAAACAAAGGGTTTCGTGGAACAAAGAAATATCCAGACCTAGTGTCTCGTTTCTCTTCTTAACCGTTCTATTATGCAAATCGAACTATGAGCAATATCGTCCTTCGAAACCCGACGGCGACACGATCTTCCTAACCAAACCAATTCGAGGGTCGTGACGTTCGTTTCGACGGTGATTTAATTTCCGTGATTCGTAGGACGTGCAACGAGAATAAGAGCCGAGCGCCTCCAGTCTATCTTTGACGAGCGCGAACGTCGTAGAAGAGCGCGATAAAACTCGTGTACGAACATCCGAGCGAAACTGATAGTGGATGCGACACGGCCCGGGAGAGACGCCCTGCCATCTGTCCTTGCACACGCCCCGCTTTCCCTCTCTCGAAGTCAACGGGAAGATGGGGTAGACACCGTCCGGCGCAAGCGTGTATCCCTTTGGTTCTATTACAGCACGCACACTCGTATCGCGAACGTGCAGCATCCCTAGTCGAGAATCGAATTCCATGCTGGCCGATCGTCGTCGTAGTGTCGTCATTGTCGTACACGTGTCACGCACCAATACGCCTCGTCTACCGTAACAAATATCATGCAGCAGAGCCACTCGTTCGCATCGTCCTTCCCGTAACGACTAAATCGAACTTATCGCGTCGCCCTCGGTTTCCACAAAGAACTGTAAACAAAACGAGCACAGTTTTCTCGAGTGTTTTGACCGTCGCATTACTTCGAAGAGTCTCTAATGTCACGTAATGCCTTCCGTAACGCGTGATTTCAGAGGCTTCAAATCCGCCCGAATGTTCGTGATTTTTTGGTTATGTTTTTCTTCGTCTCTTTACGCGCACGAATTCCAATATAAAAACATGGTAGCAAACTCGTACACGAATCAAAGTTAGAATTTATTATTATAAGATGTATTTAAAGTTTAGAAAAATTCGAATGTCGTAGTGTTCGATATATTTCTACGAACTTACGCGGAACGAGAAAACACTGTAATTGGGTGTTCACTTTAGGAAATCTTCTCGGAACAAGATTTCGGTTAATCTCGGGAATTTCAGACGCTTCAGTCTATAGCCGAGCTTAGGGTACTTTCGTTTACTTAAGAAACGTCGTTGCGCATTTTTCACGGAATGTCGCGGCGGTCTTACCAGAGGACTTGAATAATGGGTGTCCGTAACATCGCCGTGAAGGAACAGGGGAGTCTTGCGAGGCACCAAAGCATACCACCCCTTTGTTCTTTCCAGCATAATGGACATGCATTGTATCTCTTTCTTGCCGACTTTTTAATGTACAATCTACACGGTGGAATTGAAAGAAAAATCGATGCCCTAAATCGTTAGAAGTGAAACGCACAAGAGACGTACGACTTCGGTCTCAAGGGGTTTGACTCGAGTTTCTTTTCACCGAGATTTCCTTTCTCTCCTCTTTGCCTCAGTAATCACGTAACGACGCTCGATGATCGAAACTTTCTCAGAAATAGCGAAGATTCATTCGCTGAATGCGGAACATGAGGTGCACGTTCCACCAACAAGTTTATCTTTTAATACGTTTACGTATCCGTGTGCAGCGTTTAAAAGGGAAAAAGGAAAACGGAACTAGAACTACAAATCTTTCGCGCGTGACGCTGGCTGCGTGAACAAATATGTATTTTCTCTTTTGAAAATACAATATAATAAATATTGCAAAAGCTACACGTTGTACTCATTTATTTAGAATTATATAAACTTGTTTGTTTATCGATAGTCTCGTGTTTCGATCAATCGTTAGAAGGTAGGGCACAATGGAAGCACACCGCAATTCTCAGCAATTGTGAACGAGAAATGTAATCTGTACGAATATTATCATAGTTTATGCTTTACAGATATTGCAGTTTATATCGCGGTCATAAATATTTTCGACATTATCGATACACGCTGTGCTCCATATTGCTATATCGACTGCGTACGAGTTTCAATTCAAGTTACACGATGATGGCGTGAAATTTTAATTGTAGGTTATGTCGTAGGACAGTGATTTTATGAGAGTCCTGTGATACGTCAACGAAATGTGACAATTAAATTTTTCTTTCGTTGCACAATTGTACGCAGAAACTTAGTTAATTTAAATTTACATTAGAATTATGTCGTACGTTGTAAAGTAAATTTTTCTATTCTTTAACCGGTTGATCGGTCCGTGAAAGAAGGTATAAGTTCGCATTAAGTTTAATTGTTGTTTAAAACAACTTGCAAAAATGGACGACCAAGCTTGTCCAAGATGCAAAACTACCAAGTATCGAAATCCATCCTTAAAAATGATGGTGAACGTTTGTGGACACACATTGTGTGAAAGCTGCGTAGACTTGTTGTTCTTGAAAGGTTAGAATTGCTGTATTATTGAAAAAATATTGTGTATCGCATGTTATAATACTTTTAATATGCTTGCAAAGGTTCCGGATCTTGCCCAGAGTGTAAGATTCCTCTACGAAGAGCAAATTTTCGTGTGCAATTGTTTGAGGACCCAATGGTAGAGAAAGAAGTAAACATAAGAAAGAGAATACTTCGGGACTTTAATAAAAGAGAGGAGGACTTTATGTCATTACGCGAATACAATGACTATTTAGAAGAAATTGAAACTATTATATATAACTTAGTTAATAACATCGATGTAATAGAAACGAATAAAAAGATAGACCAATACAAAAAGGACAATAGAGATCAAATAACCAAGAGCAAATCTAAACTTGGTAGAACCGAGTACGAACTGGAAGAGATGATAGAGTTAGAAAAGCAAAAGGAAGAGGAGAGAAAATTGGAACTGGTTAAACAAGAAATGGAAGCTAAAAAGAAGAAAATTCGTGAGAAAGAAGCATTGATAGACGAGCTTACGTATTCGGAAGGAAATGCAAAGAACATTGTGGAAACATTTGCATCGGCTATACAAGCATCTAAGAAGGAAGTAAAAGCGGTACCTTCTAAAGTTACACAATTTAGCACGGGAATAAAGTTTGGCAACCAAGGAACTCAGAATTATATGCCTGTGCCAAAACTTGACGAAGGACCTTTATACTCTTATGTACCTATTAGACAGTCGACCGATGGCCCAACACCACCAGGTTGGCGAGAGTTGCAAGCTCGCGGTTATGTTTCTCATGTACGCGGTGAATCTTCGGCAGAAAGAGCAGGAGGATTCAAAGCGCATGTTGCATGTTTAAGGGCCTTACAAGAAGCTATGGCTGGTCTATACCATAATCCCTCTCAACACCAAACAGAATTTGCAAGCGTATAACTGTACAGACTGTTTCAATGCCAAGGAACTATATCTCTAGTTTTGTACATAGACCAGCCACTTACCGATCAGTTCTTCTAATTGTATTAAACAACTTAGAATCTCTGATTAATTGTCATTCACGAATTACATAACCGATTGATTAAATGCATGTGATATAATTACAAATTACAGGTACACGTGCCTTGTATATTTATCTAATTTTTGTATTACATATTGTATACCATAAAAATTGTACAACTTCAGTACCTGGCCACTCATTGAATACACGTAAAGAAAAATGTTTTTTTCGTAATCTTTCTTCTATGTTCCGCGTCTACTATTCTACCTTCTAGTAGGTAGAAGTTATTTTAATTTGTACGATATAAATTATTTGCATCGCTGTTTATAAAAATGTTAATGTTGAAATATAACTTTTGTAATAATCAATGCTTTTCATTAGTGTCATTCTATCGATTTATTAAAGTCGATAGCGACATCGATAAAGCAGTACCGACTGATGTTATGCATTGACTATGGTAGACCATAAGAAACGTACATTTTTCCAAACAAACAATTTACCTGTATCACCATAGCGTTAAATAAAAAAACTGTACCCTACCGAATGGGTATTTATATTAATATTAAGTAATATAAGCTCACCAACTAAAGTACCGACACCGACGTTACGAAAAATAAGCGGTTTTCAGCGCACTCTACGTTTGAAGATGCTGACTCTGGGAACGAAATTCAATCGAACGAGAGTAGTAACGTTAGGAAATTCAATATTGTATTTTTAAAGTTAAGGTGTTTATGGTGCTCAAATTATCTATGAATTCCATAATATGTACATTGATAGCTAATCTTCAAGATATGTGAAAAGGTGGATGCATAAATATGATAGGTAGCACTAGAAAATTGTAACGACAATAAATCACTGCAAAATTAGATACTGACCTGGTACCTTTATTCTTTTTCTTTTGTAGTTGCAGTTTCTACTCGAAGCACCCATGATCGAATACACCACATTATTCAAAATACGAGATTGTACGACGAACGACGACCAACTTTTCTTCTAGGATTACAGCGGGAGGTTAGATCGTCCCCCCCACCCAACGACCAATCGTACGTGACGGTTAGGACGAACGGACGCCATTTGTACTCGGGAAAATGACTTGTCAAGACGTGTTTTAGTTTATGCGACTAACGAGGTGCGTACTTGTTATCTATTACAATCAATCAATATTAATTACTATTGTTTATTCTGTATCAGTAGTTTACGTAATATAAATGTACTTTTAATTGTAAATTCAATCGACATCGCGAGAAAAGTTGATTCGTTTTCGCGCTTTTTTTCGATCACCAACCGGTATCAGTCGTTACTACATATCTTTGAATCAAATTACGATCGTTTGCAAGATATTTCAAGTTTGATTGTTGCCCAATTATAATACGACTGCATTTCGCCCAATAAAGATGCTTCGATCGTGCCATTTTTCTATCACAGGTTACAATTTGAACGCCAGTTTAGCAACGTAATGGCCGCCATTACAGTCAACGATTACGTATTTCAAACGAAATTTCCCGAAGCGTGGTAACGTATACAAAATTTATTTCCACATTATTTCTGTACGCGAATTCGAACACACGTCGAAATTACGTATTCTGTACGACTTTTGCAACAACCTTCCCTAATATTTTATAACAGTCACGTCGTATTAAAATTCAATTCGACAAAGATAAAAACGTGCTCGACGGTTTAACGATGAAAGTGATCGATAAAACGCAAGAGTGTTTAGCTTTCAGAATGTTGACCTCGCAGTTTATAACAACAAGGGGCGACCGTCGTTCGTTGTTCCAAGAAAAGCGTGTATTTCCTTGAACGGCGTTCGAGCAGAAAAAAAGCCATAATAGAAGTGGAGTGCGTGCTCGACTGAACGTTGTCTATCCTTTTCTCACTGTATTCTTTTTTTTCCAGCAGATTCGTTGGCCGCGTGCAATGCGGCCGGTAGAGACAGTGCTTTCTGCGTAAAAGTTTATTTTTATTTGTTTCGGCACACGGCAGCTTCGGCTAGATTCTCGTTCATATTTTATTTACTCGCGAAACAGAGCCAGTGCTTATTGCGCATTATAAATTCTCTTCGGAACATCGCGGTTTTTTGCTTTATAAATTATAAGATTAGAGTCTCTTGTTCACCAAAGTCCTACTCGATAGCATTCTACAATCGGTGAGTCGTATGATTTTATTTATTCCTTCTGAACTGTTGGTATGCAATATACTCAAATAGTAACATTTCCTGTTTTATTTCTTAGTTGTGTCTTCTCGTACTTCTGCATTTCCTGATGTTATAAATTAATGTTTTATAATATGTTAAATTCGTTTTCACACAAATATTTAACATACATTCTTTTTTGTGATTATGAAACAATAATGGTTATGAAGTGAATTTAATATTGAAATGTTTTTATTAAATTATAATAATATTGCGTGGAGAAATTTGAAACTCCCAATTTCGTTATTACGATAATTTCAATTATACGATGATGGTAATCATTTATACCATGTACCATATAAATAATTAATAACATTGAAGGCGTTTAATATAATATTATAATATTAAATATACATTCATATAGAAGCGAACGACTACGTCAATTGCAAATAATATTATTTGTTTTATATTTTTATAATTATTCTATCAATCTGTATTAAAGTTCTACCGTTTACGTAGAAAATATAACGTCACGTTTGATGTACAAGAAGACGTTTCGCGGTGGATAGATTTCTGAGTTGAAGTAACAAGTTTTGAACCTTTTAATATTTCATAAAATTTACTTTGACGATAAAGGCGCCCGAGGGCATTTAAATATTTATTAAATGATCAAAATAAACTATTACAATGCAAAAAGTTCTGAATTCAAATCTTAATTTAAATCTTATTTTTTATCATAATTTGATGATTCAAGATGATACGTAAAGGGAACGAAATCATTCTATCCCGTTTAGACACTGGATACCGATTATAACTTTCAGGTTATGTTTTATTTATCCTAATAGTTTTAAACGCTATTTTGTCTGTCGCGACGACCGGCGAAAATATTCCATTATACGCTCACGACATTCGCCAAGTATCTCTCTGCTTCTTCCGCAATTTTAATAAAACTTCGCAGATTTGCAAAGCGTCAAAAAATAGGGAATACGTAGTTTTTTTTTAGCGTCGGCGATGCAATTTTAACGGGGTGAAACTATACTTTAAAGTTTCCCTCCTTAAAGTTATCTCGAAAACTGTTCGCGATACTAGGAAGCATTTTAAGAAAGTTCTTTACTGTTTTTGGCGAAAAATAATATCAGCAAGAACGGTTCATAAATAAGTTAAATAATCGCTTCTAACCATCTGTATTCTCAACAACGTAACGAGCTGCCAAATAATTGTGTAAATATTTGTATAAATATTTTGATATTCAAATGATTCACTCTGACCTAACCTCTAAGGTAAGGAATAAGTTCATGTTACCGGCAAGGGAATATACTAAAGTGACAATCGCCAAATTTCATTAAATCTGATAAAAAACCACTTCAGAAAGAAACTTATTTTCCAAAACAGAATAAGATTTTAGTGGTCGAGTTGGACGTAATTGTCGAAGTCTCCGTTCGTTAAACGAAGAGGTCGTTCTTTAGGTCGTAACCTAACCACAGACGAGGTATATGAATAGACCTTTCACCTAATGTAATTTTTCGGCCGGAGTTTCTGGGGTCCCGGGACCCCATTACCATTTTCGTATCACTCGCAACGTTATCAACAGATTTAGAAATTAACACAAGAGGAAGTGAGACGGAAAATAAAATTACATGAATTTTATTATTTTTTAACGGAATGAAAGCTGTATGGTCCAGAATTGAGCATCGATCGATTAATTTCATTGGAATAACCAATCGATCGAGATTATTTAAAGATTTCAAAATTATTAAAATACGTAAGGATCTCATTGATAAATACACCGCAAATCCTCTATGTTTTATTGTAAATTGTAATATATTATTTATTTAAAAACTAACTCGGCAAAAACGTATTTGCGACTCGAAATCAGTGTTATCAGACCGCACACCAGGACGAACAAGGTATGTGGAACTATAAGAAGAACGCAGCCATTAGCTCATATTATTTCCTATGTAATTAATAATTGTATTAATTACATACTAAATAATATGACCCAGGTCTCACCACGTGGAGGTTGCTGCGAGTGGAGACCCGAAGGGAGATAGATGGAATCAAAGTTCCATCGATCTCCCTTTTAGCTAAGCTTAGCTACCAAGTAATTATTTCGTTTGAAAAGGGATGAAGCTAAATTATGGGATACGCGACGCGACGCGATGCTGAACCGTGCGGCAGATCTTCGGATCGAATCAACACTGCCCTTGGTAGATTGATTCCTATTTCTAGCAATCGATCTATCATGGGTAGGCGACTAGATCTTTCGGACAAACTGGACGGCCGATCACATGTTTCGATCGATGAAACAGCGGTGATCGAAGCTAGGAACCAGAGAACGAGTCGAGAGAAGCTACTTGTTAAATAATTACTTGGAAATATTGGGAGACGCGTACGATAGGGACTTAAAATTAACGTCGAAGCTCAAGTCTGTTCAAGTTGAAACTAAAATTCGGACGATAGAAGGAAACAAAGTTCCTTGGATGTACCAAGCAATTATTTGGTTAAAAAGAGGGACGAAGTTAATTTGAGGGACACGCGACGCGACACGACGCGACGCGAAGCTGAACCGTGCAGCGGATCCGAGGATCGAACCTACTGCCCTTGCTAACTAGATCTCTACAGGATAACGGACGGCTGCGACTCCGAATCTAAGGTCTCCATTGCTCCAACGCAACCCGCCGGGAGCCCGAAGGACCCGACTCAAGTTGTCTGACAAAGAGAGAGTACCTCTGTTTCAGTGTCGACTTCCGCTGGAAGGTATGCGTTTCCGCAGGATACGGAAACTCCACACCTTCCAGCAGAGTACCATTTTCCCTGGATCGAGCTACCAAGGGAAGGCGGTTAGATCTGTCGGGCCAGCTACACGGCCGATCACATGTCTCGATCGATGAAACAGCGGTGACCGAAGCTAGGAACGAGGGAACGAGCGAGAGACACAATCTACTTATTGAATAATTGCTTGGTAGGACGCGGAGATACGTATAATAAAGAAGGCTTCGACGTTAATTTTAATACTCGCGACGAAGCTTAAGACTAATCAACTCGGAATTAAAAGTCCCTCGGCGGGCGAGGCGTTCTCCCTCGGTGTCCTTGCGATTAACTGAAATCAAAACTAATATTTATATTAGTGAGACATGGTAGGAAATTTAATAAACACTTAAAAATAATCTATCACCTAGCTAAAGGGGCTAAACGTAAAAATAGAAATCTTATATTAATCAGTGCCATCGAAACAAATATGGCATATCCATCGACACCATGTTTTACGTATCAAACCGAACATTCTTCTAATGATCGGTATCATCGAAACGAATACAGTATATACATCGCCCCATTGTGATACAACTCAAAACGACCATTCGTAACAACGATAGGAACTTGGATCGAGACACCAAATTGAATCAACACCAAACGATCAAACGAAATGGAAGAATCAAAGGAAGTACCTCCGCAGAATATTACGAGAATTCGAGCAAGAAGGTAAAAATAAAAATTCATGGAATCGTGTAGAAACGAATATAGTATATGATTGAAAACAATACTACATTATTATATCCTGCAATACTATACATATCAAAGCATTCGCATAAATTCGACAAACAATGTAAAAGTAGAAACATAGAAAAGGAACATTCATAATAACCAAATAAAATCAGATAGATAAATACAGTTGAATTCACATGAAACAAACAAATGAAAATAATAAAATATAAATAAGTGGAGTGGACTTACTACTTGTTGTCAGTACATAGGGTAGTTACCATAAGGGCCAGCTGTAAAGTAAGAAAATATTCATATTATAGCAACATCGGTTAGATAAACGAGGCAAAATCAGTTCATTGAAGCAAAATTGGCATCAAATGATAGAATAGAAGAGGGGAGAGAATTTTTAAACAGTTCTTACCGTTGGTCATCACCGTCCGGCACTGGTCAGTAGTGGTCAGTAGTGGTCAGTAGTGGCAGGTACGCGAATCAGCACTGGTCAGTAGTGGTCAGTATTGGTCAGCCATGGTCAGCTGTGGTCAGCGCTGGCCAGTAGTGGTCAGCAGCGGCCAGCAGAGGTCAGCAGCGGTCCCCGGTTCTCCTCTGGCGATTTGTAGACTCCCGAATTCGCGACGCGACTGAAGAAATCTTCGCAGTGACCCTGCTTATATGGCTAAGGTGATGAAAGGGTGGGGAGACCAGTCAGAGCCAAAGTTGAAGATAACAGGTAAGGCTGTCTCGTCTACGAAGAAACTATTTCGATTGGTCCCACCTCCTGACCATTTCTGGATCTTCACTGGACCGCTGACCTTGATGTCCACCTCACTGTTGACCACCAGTGACCATAAACTAGTCATTGTTGATCATCGACCCATTAAAACCAATTACGAAGATTAAAGCATTCTTACGAGGATTCCCTTACAATTTGATGCATGATCTTTTTAACATTTTGTTCCATTTTGGAAGAGTGTATCTCGTTAATTTTTGTCTTTTTGTACGTCAGTTCGAACAATTGTCACACCGAGCGAAAAATTCGGAGGTGATTTCAGCGTCCTCTTCTCATGGATGGCGGTCAGTTGAGAAATTATTCACTGAATTAGTATTGATAGGCAAACAGCTGTAGTTTTGCGTAAATCCATGTGAGTTGGCTATGAAAGGGATTAAAATTCATTTCTAAATCTGTTGATAACGTTGCGAGTGACACGAAAATGGTAATGGGGTCCCGGGACCCCAGAGAAACGGGCCGAAAAAATACATTAGGTGAAAGGTCTACTCGTATACCTCGTCTGTGATATTACGAACCCGAGGGATGCCTCAGGTAAAAACCGCGGTTAGACTGATTTTAGCAAATTATTTACAACTTTAACTAGTCAAGGAATGCCGAATAATTCGTACTTTTCAACTCGTATGCATTTACATGCAACTAGCTGCTGCCTATCACACTAATTCAGTGAGTTTCTCAACTGACCGCCATCCAAGAGAAGAGGCCGCTAAAATCACCTCCGAATTTTCAGGTCGGTATGGCAGTCAGATTAGGCCGCGAAAGTCCATAAGGTGAAAGGTCTATTCATATATCTCGTCTGTGCCTACATCTCGTCTGTGGCACTGACACGTAAAACGTATTAGGAAAGGAATTGTTTTTCCCAGATTTTAATATTGGCTATTGATGGTAAATAACCGACAGGAAAGATCTAGTCAATATCTTTAGGAAGCTCTCCAAATGTTTGTGTTTTCCAACACTCGAATATTTACGTATGCGTATTGATAATGTATTCGTAATATTAAATTTTAATTGAATATCTTATATCGATGACCTCTTACCGACTGTGCAACGCGCGATGTTGTCGGCAATGATTTGATGATTATCCAGGAGGTGGCACGTTTTTCTTTGATACATTTATGGCAGTTTAGTTACCAAAAGAACTCTACAGAAAGAGTTAAAAACACATAAGAAGACAATTTATAATCATATTTTACAGTTTATAATTACTATCGATCTTTGAAAATATGTTGACGTACTATTCTACATGGATTTATAAAATCTAATTAGATTATTGGACGAATTAATATTCAGCTAGAGAATTCAGTTTTTAATACTAATGGTTCGAGTAATTTAGTAGTTGGAATAGATAATGCATATGTTTTTCGTCAATGTAAGTATAGTTTCGAAAGAAATTTAATTTTCTTAATGTTAGCAACATTTTTGATAAAATCTATATGTTAAAATAGACTGTCGTTTAAAACTCCAGTTAGAAACATACTTTTTTCTATTTGATTTCCTTTCTTGTGGTTAAAGTACATATTGAATTAACGGCATATTGCACCTAAACGAAAGTTCATTTATTTGGATAATCATCTCAACCTGTCGGCTCGTCGTAAGAAATACTTGTTTGAAAATGAGTACGTATTAAGTACGTGGCAAATATAAACGTAACTAAACATACTTCAAGTAGCATACGCTCGTTAAAACACAAACTCGATGATTGGAAGCAAGAACGCCGACACAAGATATACGTAGTGTAAACAACGTTCTCAATATCAATGCAGTGTCTCGCAGATGTCTCTGGTACTTTAACCAGAGAGATCGCGTTACAAAACAACACGGGGACCGCCATTTAATCGTTCTCTTTCATTGCCCCACTCTTCTCTATCGCCGTGCGTAGAATTTGCTTCTGCATTTCCACGATCGCGACAAATCAAACGAAAATAAAGTAGAATAAAATATTTCGGAACGAACAAGTAATTTTCTTGATGCAATCAAGCTACACAGAGCCGACGATCGGAAAATCATTTATCACGTTGTTCTTGCAGGCGTCATGTTGGACAATTTTGCGTAGAAAAAATTCGTCGCGAATAAATTACCGTTGGTTGGTTTTATCGGTTATCTGCTCGAATAAAATGTTGTCCGATGGCCCGAAGGTCGCGTGCGATTGCTTCTGGTTTTTCTTTTGTCCCGGAGTTTCTCGCGAAACAAATGCGGTTGGCGAACGAATCGCGAGCAAGCGAGCATACGCGCGAACGTCGGAGACGGGACGGTGTGCCGAAATGCTTAATTAACGCGAGTGGAGCCTCGGTGGCTGTTGAACGATCCAGCCAATCGCGTGCCCGCGAGTGACCGGAGGCTCCGCCCCACGAGAGAGCCCCGTTGCCCTTTTCCTCGTGACTACCGGCCACAGTACGTACGCGAGCGTTCACGGAGTGTCATCTCGTTCGCGTCGGCCTCGCTGTTCCGTTGCCGATAGTTTTTCTGCGTGCACGCAAAACCGCCCCGAGAGCAGATTTTTCCGCATTTTCTTTCCGCCCGCCGACAGCTCCGTCGAATCGGTCGCGTCGTTCGCATTCCCGTTTCGATCCGCGCGACGTTTCGCGCGCGTTCCACCCGTTCGAAAAGCGCGGTTCCAGCACGGCGACGGTCCGTGCCGTCGAGAAAAAAGAAAACAGTGCGTCCTTAGCCCGTGACACAGGTCGAGTTTCGTTTTAGTTGAGCGTTTTTTTCGTGATACGCGTCAGCCGCGGAAAACATGTAAGAATCAAACACGATCGAGAGGTATCAAAAGAAAGAGAAAGCTGTATTCTTGTGGTACTGGGCACGTCGGATAACAGCGATCGGATCGTATCATCGGGCAACGTTCGATCTCGATCTGTCAGCCTCGGGATCAGCCGTCGATGCGAATCCTCGATCGGTATCGGCGCTCGTAAGAAATGCGCGGCTGAAGTAGAGGGGGCCCCCAGAGAGGACATCATTCTCCTTTCTTTTATTTCGCCGTGATTCGTGCAACAGACGATCCACCACCGATCCAAGTCGACGTGCCCCCATCGAACTTTGACAAAGATGCGGCCCGTCGCGACGACCTTCTTGCTCGTACCGTTGTTGCTCGTCGCGTGGCAAAACGGTGCGCAGGCCAACTGGTGGTGAGTTTCTACAACACGATTGTTTATGTCTCCCGTCTAGATAAAAATCTTTCTAAACCCCCTAACCTTGCAACCCCGATGCACTTTGTTGTATACAAGACGGAAAAGTAGGGCTTCGATCCAACTATATTTCGTCGCGGGTTTAAAAATATATATTTTTTATTTGCATACGATTTGCATATTTAATAGGTGGCGTGTTTGTCTCTGATAAAATTTAGAAATCGCGTGCTGTTCGAACGGCGAGAATGTGGAATGACGGAAAAGTAAATTGAGAACGATATTGGTGCACCAATTGCATCTGGCGACGTAGAACGATCGCGGTCGGTTACATTTTAGACCGATTCGGATAGAATTCGAACGATTGCCTTGTTTCGACTTAATTACATTTAGCGTGTCGGTCATTTCCTGGTCACAATACCTATTAATTATCGTTCCTAACGCACATCGAGTTACGGAAATATCAAGTGCTCGTGCAGAGAGAACAAACTGGATCGGCTCGCGGAGCAGGGAACAGTCGAGAATGTTGAGACATATTAAGGAGTTATGGAACATCGTAAACAAGCTGTTCGGTACTAGACGGTAACACAGTTTATAATTAAATGTTACCGGTGTACAAAAATACCCGCATGGTTGCATAAACTTTTTCCAATGGAATTATTACCTGTATCGTACACATTAGATATCGATTCGCGAACATGAGTTATCGTTTAATTTAGCAATTCATTGTCCCGGCACACGGGGGTGGACGTAATCAATTTCAAGCCACGTTTCTTTCCGTTACGAACATTTCGCTGTTAGCGTTTGGACTAACAGTGGCAAGACCTGTCCCCATATTGTACCATGATTAATAACGCTAACACTAGGTGTATTATTGACTCGTTGATTAATAGGTACGTTCGTAGTTTACTGCGTTTAGCATGTTTCAAACTTGTTTAAGATGTGTTGAAAATCTGATCGATGCGGTGACGTCTGGTTTATTATCGACTCTTTGATTAATGGTCTGGCGTTGGATTTAGTATAGATTTAGACTCTTCGATCGATGATCGGTTCCCCCCCCCCAACACCTCGACGTTCTGTAACGTGAAAATTCACTTGCACGACCATCTTTGTTTCACGGTTTATGGCGTATTATGGTTTTGCGTGGTTTCTTCATTGTTTTTCTGTCCCCGATCCGTCGAAAAGAAAGGGGAACGAGAAGTCGGGCGGCGCGTTTCGCAAAGTCGGTTGTCGAGATAAACGCGCGTCAGGATAGGTGGAAAGGAGTGAGACATTAATTCGCGGTAGCCGGTGATCGAGAACACGACTCGCGCCGCTGGTAATCTCGCGATCTACAGTTGTCCGATCAGAATGTCCGCTCGCGGAGAGAAGCCGACTTTCAGGCTGGTAATTTCCAACGGGGAGACGCGTGGCGAACCGATCGCGGGGCTCTCGTGGCGTACCCGCGAAACGACGTTTCTGACGGCTCGTCGAAAAATTACGAGCCGGGACAGAAGTGGACCGCGGACGTTCTGAAAAGTCAATTACGGTCGCGAGCCGGACGCCACAGCCTCGATCGTCGTTAGATCGCTTTGCAGCCGAGGGTGAAACGTTCTCTGCTCGAGATCGCGTCATCGAAACGCGATTTTCATGCCACGTACAGGGTGTCCCGCGCGACTGGGGCCTCGAACATAACCTCAAAAATCAGAGCCTCGCGTATTTTACGTGGTTCGACGTTTAGGGAAGTTCAAACGCCCAAGTTCGATGTTTATTTAATGGATTTACCCAGATTTGCGAGAACCAAATTAATTCAGAGGGGGCACGTGTCTTGGAGTTAATTAATTAACACTTTTACTGCCATGTCACCCATATATGATACCATTATGATACTAGAAACCATTTTCATTTGGTTTCCATTATCATACTAGAAAAATTCATTCTCAAGTTTAAGACGTTGAAGGAAATAAATTTGAATGGAATTTGTGAATTTTAACTGGCTTACGAAAGTGAACTGAAACAAATTTTAGGTTATGTAGCCTACAATTACCTAAAATCAAAATTTTACTTTTCCAGAATATTATACGGTTTTGTTTTTTTAATGGATTTATCCAGATTTGCGGGAACCAAATTAATTCAGAGGGGCACGTGTCTTGGAGTTAATTAATTAACACTTTGACTGCCATGTCACTCATATATGATACCATTATGATACTAGAAAAATTCATTCTCAAGTTAAGACGTTGAAGAAAATAAATTCGAATAGAATTTGTGAATTTTAACTGGATTACGAAAGTGAACTGAAACAAATTTTAGGTTATGTAGCCTACAATGGCCTAAAATCAAAATTTTACTTTTCCAGAATATTATACGGTTTTGATTTGGTTCGAACGAGTCGATGAAAAATGATTTTTGTGGAGGGGAGGGGGTATGTTATGAAGCAACTGTTTCACGTCGAAAATGTGTAAAAGAAATTGTGCAATAAATCGACCATAACGTTTCCAGATTATATACATGTATACAGTGCTCGATCCGCCGCGTATAGTTTCTCTTATTATCAAAGAATGCTCACATGCTCCGGCACGATTAATATAAATTAGCAGAACAAAATTACAAACTAAATATAAATTATGGCCAATTAGTTATCGTCAATCTACCATGACTATCACGGTAGGTCTTTATGAAACATATTACCCTAATGCAGTGTCTCTCAATCTCTTGTCTCTCGTGACTCGTGGCCTCCTTCCGAGTCGCATATGTTTTCCACTTTTAAAAAATTCATTGAATCATGTTGACAGAGAAGAAGAAAAATATCGAAAATTCTTCGTTCGAATTTTAGACATACGACGAACCGAAATCGTACTAAAATTAATCGGTTGCCCAGGTCGTCGGGTCGGATTAAGCAAACTAGCTCAAACCTAACCAAACACGACCTAAATCAACACCAAATCCCAACCCAGGCCCAAAACCTTCGAAATACGTGGCATTGCAAATATTTTTAAAACGAATTCCAAAGCTATATCTATAGGAAAAAGTTCCCAAGAATGTTGACCTTGGCAAAATATTTCAAGGTCATTGCGATCCTAACAAAGTGTTTATCAACGTAATTAATTTTTTTTAAAAACGAAAGCCTCCAAAATCTTAATCCAGACCCACAGTCCCCCCGATATGCATCGTTGCTCGCCAAGTGGGGGTGGCGGGGCCCGTACGGACCCCGTTGAGAATCCCTGCCCTAATGCGAGGTTCTTTCTTTCTTCTTTTTCTTTTTTTTTACGCCGAGGCGGTCCAGTTTCGTATGATTAACGATCGTTCGTTACCGGTTCGTGCGTACGCGGATGCGAGCGCGAATTTATCGCGGCAGCGATTTTGTAAGATCGCGCGAGCGCGAGAGACGGGCCGGCGCAAAAAGCGTAGCCGCGAAAGTCCCGTGTAACCGATCGAGCCGACTGTGAAACGCAAGTTTGATACGGCCGCCTTATAAGATTATGCGGCGTTTTTACGGGAACGGTATAGGTTCCTGCAACGTAAGCGTTTATTTTAGCATTTGAAATATACCATTGCGAAGCGCACGAGATATTCACGAGGCATAAAGACTCGATCACGTTTCCGTACATAGAAAGGCACGTACGGTACACGGAGGATGATGACGAAACGTTCGGCCACGAAGGACAATTTTCTACAGATCGTTTCACCTATTGTTCGTCGATACTGCGCGGACGCTTATTTACTCTTTCCACGCGATTTATTTAGTCGTATATCGACCGGCCACCATGCATCCAAATCGCCATTGTCGCGTCGGACGGTACCGCGTTATTCCTTTCTACGGGGTGTCTGGTGTTGCAATTCACTCGTAAATGAACCTTCTATTAGGTTCACAGAAACGAGCTATTCAAATTTGTTAGGCCAGGTTTTTATTTTTTTCGATTATTGTCAATGTTATTTTTACTGATTATTTTATTAACCCTTAAGTGGACTCTCAATCTCAACTGAATTATTTTACTTGATGGTGATTTTTTCATTGACCACCACTTCACTCACATATGGATGATACGACTTTTCATCAAGGAATTAACAAAATTAATTCCCAAGATTAGCTAGATATAGGGCCCAATGAATTTTAACGAGTCTGTAAAAATAGATTCCATGACAAATTCTTGGTATGCTAGTTCTCAATCGTCTAAAAAGAAAATTTAATTTTCCTTTTAATGTGAGGGGTTTGGTCTGGATAAATTTTCAAATAATTGCATTTACATATATTAAATAATTATTAATACACAAAATTGAAACATTGACTTCGTATCGATCACTTGATCAGACGCTGGATGATGTTGGCTGATTATTTTAATAATCGAAAAATAGTGGCGTTTACGTAGAAATTTCGTCCGGTTCTTTTCGTGCTCGAAGGTAAAATTGGTCGGTTGTAAGTTGGCCTTATAGAAGAATCCCCTTCGATCGGGCGCGCGAGCGAGTATGCACCATCGGGGAAGCCCCGATGATAGCGATGATACTCGAAGAGAGAGAGAGGGAAAGATAGAAAGAGAGGGCGTGATCGCGCGTTGGTGTCGACGCGCCCCTACAGGGCACACTTTTAAAACAAGAAGGCCGACACGTTGACGTCCTACGGTCAAGCACGATTCCACCGGGAGATTTTATTTCCGACAAACTGGTTCCCCAGGGCGATTAATCGGCCTCCGCTGACGAGAGCCGCAGCCTTCCGGTATATACGTATGCTCGCTTCTTCGCCTGTCGCTTTATCTTGCTCACGGTGGTGAACACGCGACGCGCGAACTGCAAACGCTTAATAATTCACGGTAAGTCGCGCCTGTTAGCCTTGCTTAACGGACAAATCGTCGTTGGGTTTCTTGCTCGAACCAACCTCACCCACCCCTCTTCTGCGGTTGCCAAGTCGTTCCACCTTCGGGCCGATTTCTCAAACCCAATACATTTTTTAACGCGTTACCCACCTCCTTTCCCCACAGGTAAACGTTAAATAGGAGACCGGAAACACGTCGAAATTTTTCGGTAAA